GCAGCATACTTTTGGGGCAATAAACGGTTGCCTAATTATGACTGAAAATCACTATTCATTTGACTGGGCTTGCCTTGCAATCATCCCCATTGATGGGGCATCCATCATCAATCACTCAATGTGTGGCAAGCAAAAGATTGATTGACTGCCACACAACATTGGGCCACGCTCTCCTGCTATCTCCCTGAAGTTGGAAAGGTTTTCTTTCCATTTTCATAGCTGTTTCTCATCCAAATTGGAGCTTTATTTTATTTCACTTTTCGGCTCTCATAAATCCGCTCGGCAGTTGACTTCTTAACTGTTCATCCGTCCATGCAGCTGCTGCGAATAAATCTCTAGCCTTACACGTGTCTGCTCCATCTGGAGAGGATGGAGATGCCCCCGCTGCCTGCTTATCCGTGGGAATCTGCCTCGGAGCCGCATGCAAATTAGATTTTTTAATTGGCGCCTGACCCCGGGAGGAGCTGCTCCTCTAATCTCTTGTTGGCGTCACCTCGATGTCATTCGCTTTTATGGTTATTGCCGCAGTGACAGTGGCAGTGGCAGTGGCAGTGGCAGTGGCAGTGCCTGTGCCAGTGGCAGATGCAGCAGTTGCTGTTGCAGTTGCAAATGCAAATCGCGCTTCAGTTTTTTTTTTGCGTGCGCTTAATTGAAAATTGTGTTTCGTTTTGGGCTTCAACTTCGATTCTAATGAATGGAAAAGTCACCGACGGGCGACGACAACAACGCAGTTTTTGCCGCTGGCTGTCGGCCTCCCATCGCGATGCCATGGCCATCATTAAGGCCAAAGGGAAGTGCCATGCTCCGAGGGGAAATCAGAGAATCATAGCTTAAGAAAGGGAGGAGGAAGAGGAGGCATGCCCAAAGGTAGAAGGAGGAGGAGGAGGAGGAGGAGGAGGCAGTAGAGAGCAGAAGGAGGCAAGCAAGGCCCAAAAAAGGAGCAGCAGGAGGCTCAGGTACGGGCAAAGCTATGCCACCAGGGGTGGCTTCCTTCGCCTTGGGTGGATGTTGCCTCAGGCCACAAAATCCCCGCGATCTTGCGCCTTTTGTTTGAGAAACTTGCCTCAAGACGAGATCGTCAGCAGATTTCCCGCCAAAATGTACGGGGGTTGTGCGGCACACAACGGGATCTCTGCGTTCTCTGGTGGGGTGGTTCGCCCTTCGTCGGGTGGTGATGGTGATGGTGATGGTGATGGTGATCGTGGTGGTGGTGGCGGGCGGCGGTGCTGATGGGGTGGCCGCGGCAACACAATGGCAAGGCTGAGAGGGCGACGACGATGACGATGACGACGCTGGGACGCAGAACCGTGGGAAGATTTCGGACACAAAAGGCTGAAGGAATCTTTTTAGAGAAATTCCCCTGCAGCTGCAGTGATTCGCAGCAGATCTGAGATCCGAGAAGAGAACTTTTACCTTTACCTTGAAGCAGGGGCCTTCGTTATGTGGCGGGCAGGCGGGCAGGCGGGCAGGCAGGGCGTAGGCATTTGGCGGCGACACTGAAATGTACTTGGATATGCACTACTGCTGCCACCCCACACGACTGCTGCCACTCGAGAGGCACTCGTAGGGAGGCGGGGTGGGGCAGGCAGCCGAAGCGGAGAGTGTCGCCAAGACGGCAGCAGACTTCATCAACAAATCAGTTCTGTCAATCTGTCGGACTGTGTGTGTTGGCTGTATCTCCTCCTCCCCCCCCTCCCCCTGGCCGCCCGATCGTGGCTGCGCGATCTCCTGGCCACTTGGCCTACACCATTTTGGTTTTGTCGCCTTCTCATTTCAATAATTCATTGTTGTAGTTGTGTGAATGTAATCCCACTACTGCCACGCACACCGGCAGACACACAGATATACAGATATACAGATATACAGATATACAGATACATCTGCATACAGTCTCTCACCTACACCTACATTCGGCCGCCGCCGCTGGCTGCTGCCGCTTGTTCGCGACCAACAAAATTTCTGTACGAATCGCGTAAACGCGTTTCGCGTCTCGTTTTTATTTCCCTGCCCACAATCCACGCACACCACCGCAACAGGGGAGTGAGCGAGTGTGTATCTGTGTGAGTGGCACGCTGGTGTTGGTGTGCTACTATTCGTTCATTCACAAATTGTATTGTTGCCGCCGCCGCCGCCACCGCTGCTGCTGCCGTTGCTGCTGCTGCTGCGGCATGCCTTTGGTTTTGCTTCTGCCTTCGTTTGCGCCTCCACTGCTGCTGTTTCCTCTTTTTTTGTTTTGTTTTGTCAACACACAGATACACAGATACACAGATACACAGATACGGATACTCGAGCAGCATTCGGCAGCTGCGGACACACGCACACACACATCGAAGCCCAAATGAGCGCAACACCCGAGAGAGAGCGCCCGCTCTGCATCGGCATTTCATTTCAAGTTCAGGCTGAAGTTGTTTTGCCGGCATTTGTCGACTGAGAGAGAGACAGGAAGAGAGAGAGGGAGAGAACGCGAGAGTTATCCGTGTATCCGTGCATCCGTACGTGTGTGCGTGGTACTTGAGAGAGCGCGCGCTCGTCGCTTTATCCGTGAATTTTATCCGGCCATTGTCGTGGTCGTAGCTCAAGAGTCAATCATCACAGATTTTCGTACAATGCAATTTGTGATGTGATTTGAGAGCTAGGATGTATGTAAACACAAGTATCTTTCAGATATAGGTAGCTTTTCATTACATTCCGCCCTGTAAAGCTTCGTAATGATGCTATCAATATTTCAAAAGATACAATTGTATCTGCCAAGAGTCTTAGGGCTTGGAAATACTTTTATTTGAATGTATCAAGCACTCAATTGTATCTGGCACTCGGTAGAAGTAGAGTACTCAAATATTTATTGGATTAAAGTGCATCTTTTTATGGTTTAAAGTAAATTCGAAGCTTGGAACGATACAAATGTATCTTTTAATAGTTAAAGGCTGCTAAAAACTTGTTAATGTACCTAAGGATTACTTCTGTAGTTGAAGAAACTATTTTACAGAGAGAGATACAGTATCTTAGAGTAAACATCTCCCTTAATCATATGACACAAGCTTTTGCGACTCCGATCTGATCATAAGATGCAATTGGCTCTAGAAATAGTAAATAAAAGGATCAAACACACTTATGAAGTAACCATCTTCTGCAGTAAGCATTGATAAAAGTATTTACGAATGGAATAGGCCTTGTAAAAGTGAATTTTCATGTTCCAAAAGTATTATAACTATGCCTAAACATTTATGAAGTATCCATCTTCTCTGATGAGCCTTCGAAGAGCCATCTATAAGCTTCGAATGCTGCTTAGTGGTTCAATATAGTATCCCAGAAGTATCTTAAAGTAATTTCAACATATTTCAACAAACCATCAGCTTGTTATACCTGTAACCAAGCCTCAAAGATACTCTAAAGATGTATCTTATTGGGCTGAAAAGTGCTACAAAGATAGGGATATGGTGTCGCCAAAAGTAAAGCATCCCATGGATATTTTTCGGCCTTTCCTTTCGCTTCTCCTACGAGTACGAGTATTGTATAATCCGCAAGAGCCGCAAAGTGGGAGGCGCCTATTCGGAGCTCGCTTGGGCAACAACAAAAGCAAACAGCAAACAGCAAAAGCGCCAAATGCAGCCGAGTCCCCCCATTGGCATAGAGTTTTGAGCAATTAGAAGCCCACGCAGCCATAAACAACAACTACAACTGCCGTCGACGGTCGGATCTGCTGTCGGTTGGATGAGGGGGAGTCGCCACCGACACCGACACCGCCAACACCGAGACACCGAGACACCGATACCGATACCGAGATACGAGACTCCAACGCCGACGCCGACGCCAATTCCGATGCCGATGCCGAGGAGGTTCCAAGAGCAGCTCCCACAGCCGCCGCTGGTGCACCAATACTTCGACTCCACAACAACAGCTGTTTTCGTAGAGCCACCGATTCCGAGCGGGCTCCCACGTGCTACTGGGGAGCCCTGCTCTCTCTCCCTCTCTTGGCCACCGCTCTCTCTGTCTCTCTCGCTCTCTCTCTCACTCTCACTCTCCCACCACTTTATCCGGCGAATGAGAGGCCACTCACCAACACGTAAACCTACGGCACTGGTGTTGGTATCCGATGTGTGTGTGTGTGTGAGTGTGCGAGTTCGTTGGAGTATCTGTGTGTGTGTGCGTGTGCTCGGTCGTCGGATTCTACTTAGAAAAGGCCGCTGCTGCCTTGCGCCAGTTTCTTGCTGCCTGCTGCTGGCAGTGTCTCGGTTCAGGTTCCAACGTCAAGAGGCCCGCACGCGCTCCACGCTCCACACAATCCACACTGCTGCTGTCCCAGAGCCGTCGCACAAACGAAGCATCGCGCGAGCCTCGTCTTAGAGTGTGCCCCCCTCCCCACCCCCAAAAAAAAGAAAAAACGGTCGTTCGTTTCGTATCTTTGAAATTTGTGCGTGCAACAACTGCAGTTGCAATCTCTCATCCTCTCCCTCACTCGCTCTCTCTGCTGCTGCTGCTGTTGCTGCTGTTGCTGTTGCTGCTGCTGTGCTGGTGGTGGTGGTGGTGCGAGTGTTGGTGGTGGTTGGTGGTTCCTGTGCGTTGGTGTTGGTGCAGCCCCCGAAGCGCAGCCGAAGCCGACGCCGACGCCAGCAACGACGACGACGACGACGACGCGACGTCGGGAAAATCTCTTTGCAGTGAAAATTTGTTCCAACGTTTTCGTGTTATTTGTTATTCGCACGTTGACGCGACGAGACGGAGAAGGCGCGACTTCTCGTATCCAAGAGAACAGAACACGAACGAAGTTGCAACTGCAACTGCCACTGCAACACCCAATGATCGCGCGTGCAACATACTGAACAAACGATTACCAATGAAAATTCACAAACCCTAATTTTTTTGTGAAGTGCAAATCAGAGCCCAATCCGAAATCCCGAAAAGTGTGTTTTTTTTTGTTTTTGAAATATTTTCGGCCGTTAAAAGTGTCTTAAAAAAAAAAGAGCGGAAATCCATTGAAATAGCGTATGAAATGAATACGATATTAAGAGTATGATTATGATTATGATATTTATATCAATTAAAATGGAAGGCCTCATCGCACACACAGTCGTCACAGAGCAGTAGTAATCCCGCAATCACTACGTAATACTCCCCGTTAAACACGCAACACTTATACGAAAAAAGCTGCAAAAAAAAAAAAGAAGAGTGTGATATTTTTTTGAGATATATTAGCAATTTAGAGAATTATTCGAATAATTGTTAAATGTGCACGAACGCAGTTGATCGCCAGAGGGCTATCCAGCTCCAGATCCAGCTCCTGCTCCAGCTCCAGCTCCAGCTCCAGCTCCAGTTACAGTTACAGTTACAGAGCTCGACCATTTGGATAATGCTCGGATAATCATCAGAGATCATCATCGAAACCAAAAGCAAAACAAAAGCAAAAAGAGGTAAGTGATCGCCGCCGCGGTTTACCGACGGCAGCCACAGAGAGACTTACTCACTCAATCAGCGGTATCAAGCAATCACTCAGTCACTCAGTCAGTCAGTCAGTCAGACAGTCAGTTCAGGAGTTAGTCAATCAATTGCTTGGCTCAGCAAAAGCTTAGCGAAATGTGTCAAAAAAGTATAGATCTAATTACCCGAGCCAGTAGATCGTTTTACGGCAGCGCAATATCAGCGTAATATCAGCCATAAAGTATATATAGGAATTGGAATCTAAATATGAATATGAATGTGAATATCTGCGTATGGATTGCACCTACTACTATGAATGATGGAGATTGGAGAGAACTCATATCAGCACAACAGGCCCCCCTCATAGATGATGCTGATGGTGATGCTGATGCTGATGCTCCTCCAATCAGCAGGCATACGGTACGGAAAGCAGGAATTGACGTCAATCCATGGAACGACTTGACTTGACATCGCTGATTGTTCAGATCGAGCCTCGATCTAGCTTGGACCGCCTGCCCAGAGAGAGGCAAATTGACGCACAAACAGAGCAGAGCAGAGCACAGCAGAGCAGCGCAGCGATAGATCAGCGATGGTGTGCTGTGCTGTGCTGTGTTGTGGTGCGGAGAAAGACCCTTAGCCTTAGCCCCAGCCTCAGCCCCAGCCTCAGCCCCCGGCGTCAGCCTCGAGAGCAGTTTTCAGCTCTTTAGTTCTAGTCTTAGTTCCATTCCTAGTTAGTCTTCCATTTGGACAATTTTAATTGCCATCTCTGGCCATATTAATCTCTGGCTCTGGCTCTGGCTCTGGCTCTGCCTCTTCTTATGTGAACTATGCCAATTGTCGTCTACACCTGAAGCTGCAAGAACAGGCTGCCTCTGGCTCTGCCCCTGCCCCGGCCCCGGCCCCGGTCCCGGCCTCTGTTTCTGCCTCTTTCGATCTCTTGACAAATTTGTATGCACGCGCTTCAAAAGTGCAATATTAATTAATTCCCAGCAACGGCAAACGACAGCAAACAAGAGGAGTTGCATGCAACACAACGTCTGATCTGTATTCTGTATGCAACAGCAGAAGTTGCAACTCGCTGCTTGCTGCTTGCTGCTTAGTCGAGAGGCAATTAAATCGTATGTCATTCATTGGTAATTTATACCATTTAAAGGCAAGACGCAACGCTGTAGCACACAGACTCTGCCCCTGCCCCTGCCTCTGCCCCTACCTCTGCCTCCCCCCTTTCTGTGGCATCCGGGGGGAGGAGATGGTGAGGTTCGGATCGATGTTGTGTTCCTGTTTTGGAACTCCTACAAAAAGGAGCCTCCCTCCCCCCTCCCCCTCCCCCTCCTGCCTCACCCGCTCCCTCTGCTGTCTCTCTGCTGTTTTTATCGATCTCTCACACCTCTCCCACAATTAGCATGCGATTTTTGTGCTGCCGAAACCCTCGAACACCACAAATTCTAGAGCTATACGAAATCGAGACTTTCCTTGCGAGTTTTCCATCAGAGTTTTCCTTCTCTGCGCTCTGACTGTTTGATCGATTGCCTTGCGGACGAGACAGCAGCGATCATCGCTCACCGTTGCCCCTGCCCCACCGCCGCCGCCACCGCCGCCGCCGCCGCCACCCCAGCCTCCTCCTGTACGATCCCCGTACGATCTTCTACGATCCGATTCGATCAGCGATAAATGCAACTTGCCATGAAAAGTGATGCCTTAAATGGACATTAGGCTATTGCACATTTCTCAATATGTCGCGCGCGACTCTGCCAAGTGATTTTTTCACTGCTTTACTCTGGCCGTGGCTGTGGCTGTGGCTCTGGCTGTGGCTGTGGCTCTGTCGTCGAGTCGAGTCGACTCCGATCGATCGATCGAATGCCCGATGATGTCTCGGATCTCTCGGTCTCCGCTCTGCTGGTCTGCTCCTCCTGGCTTTATACGCACCGAGCCATATATGATGAACGGAGAGACGTCTGCCACTGCCAGCAGCCACTGCTTGTGGCATATAAAGCAGGCACCAGCCAACAGCCACCAGCCAACAGCCAACAGCCACCAGGCAGGAGGCAGCCACACAGTGGGAGTGGAAGTAGGGGGAGGTCGTATCACCCATCACCCGCGCATTGCGACGTGCAACGCCATTTCCAAACGGGGTCCTACCCATTCCCCCCCCGTTCCAACGTCAACGTCAAATTTGCATTTTCATACAAAAACACCCCACTCCACCTCCCCCCCCGCCCCGCCGGCGGGCCGCTCTAGTTCCCGCTCTTTACCTCCCACAAGAGGGGGGGTTTTGGGGTCTCTGGTTCATTGGTTAATTTATTTCAGACACAGCCTTAAATTAACAATTTTAATACAAACCAAAAAAAAAAAAAAAAAAAAAAGAGGAACAACAAAAGAGCGCGCATTGAAATTGAGACGTTGGAAGCGAAATACAAAATACAAAAAAAAAAAAAAAAGTAAAGAAAAAATGCACACAATACAGGAAAAAAAAACCAAAAAAAAAGCGACTAAGAAAAAAAACATAAAATAAATTTACAGCAAAACAAAAGGCATGTAACAAAAGGAGGCGAGAAAAAGGAGAAGCAGCAGAAGGGGCTGAGCGGAATGTGTGTGTTTGTGTGTGTGTGTGTGTGTGTGTGTGTGTGTGTGTGTGTGTGTAAAGTGAAATAAAAATTCTGGCGCGTTAATTAACTTTAAACGATTGAAAACGAATTGATTTGGAGAAGCCATTTGATTTGGATTAGTCGTGCCTCGGCAGAGAAGGTCTCCCCCGAGAGGGAGAGACCCCAAGAGACCTCTGGAGGTTAGGCGTTACATTAACAGGGGTTAGACAGGGGGGGGAAGGGGGGCAGGGGGGTTGCCAGGCCACACAAAGCAGAGGAGAGGCTAAAATTAAAATTCAATCATCACGTGTGCGTCAACAACAAAAAACCAAGAGAGACAATCAGCAAAGGAAATGGAGATGGAGACAGAGAGACAGAGAGACCTCTAGAGATGGGCAAGATCGGGGAGATGTTAATTAGAATGCGTTAAACAATAAAACAAAGAGACAATCGACACAACGAAGCGTCTGCCCCAATAGTTGCAAAGAGTTTAACACCTTTGCGGCAGGCACCGGGCAGCGGAGGGGACAGACGGACAGACAGACAGACAGACAGACAGAGTATCGTATCCGACATCTGATAGGGGGGCTGACTGATCCGAATGCGACCCTGGTGCGGGGACATGCGTTGTTATCATGCATTTGATAAACGTTTTGTTTTTCATTAGAGCCCCCACCCAAAAACAAAAAAAACGCCTGAGGAAGAGAGAGACAGAGAGACCCCAGCAGAGACACAGACAGAGACAGAGGGATCCCCCAATGGGATCAGCAGTGATCAAAGCACTGATCTCCGTGTGGTATCACACCACCCCTTCAATTAGCATCAGAAAATCAGAAATTAAATCAGAAAAAAAAACGTCGTACGTGGAGTTCCATGGAAAACGCAACCATGTGGTGTGCGTCGCCCCGTCTTTTGCGGTAGAAATTGTTCCCATGCTAAACAATTTATCAGCAACGGCAATGGCAACGGCAGCAACGTCCTGTCTGAGGTTTCTCGGTTGTCATTTGCGATAGGCATGCCCTGCCAGCGGTAAAGAGAACCGCAAAGAACTCTTTTGCTTTTTTATATACATACATATGTTCATATCAGGGTGGAGATTCTATGATTTATCATGAAGCATAGGAACTTTTTGGCACACCACAACATATACTATATACCATATACTATATACCATATACCAAATACCATTTACCATATAGCATTCGATAGAATTGTTAGACCGTTTACCGCCTACCGCTGACCGCTGACCGCAGCACTTGAAAAAACCGCTTTAATCTCGAGTAGTTTCAATTAACGTCATTGGACTACATAGATCGCTGATTAGGGACTGAATGAACATTAAAGAGGAACAAATACTAGAGTACTAGTACTAGGTAGAGTACTGGAGGTTGAGAGAGAGAGAGAGAGAGAGCGGAAAACAAAAGAAAGAATAAGGTCCGAGTATATCCCACACGGGAAAAATAGAAACGAAAACAAAGTCGGAACGGAATCGGAATCGGAATCGGAATTGGGCTGCGATGCGATGAGACGCGACGCGACGTGAGGGGGGGGGGGGGAAAGCCGTATTCGTATTCGTATTCGTATTCGTATTCGTATTCCTTGGGAGATTGTGCGATGATTGTGGGCCCACCCACCGCACATGGTCAGTGGTGTGGCTGGTGTTGTGCTCTGGCTTATCAGTGGGGGCCTATATATACGCATATAGCCACACGATCCGCACAGATAGATAGAGTACGAAGTGGCGGTGGGCGGTGGGCGGTGGGCGGCAGCATGAAGGAGGAAGGCCTTCCATTTACGTCACAATTCGAGTCGCAATTCATGAATTTCTTTGGCACTAAAAAAACAATTCTATTTATTAGACGACTGCCCCAGAGAAGGGTGCCAGAGGGTGGCAGGGGTCTGATAAGTGTGGGCCAGCTGATAACCAGCTAACCGCTCAGTGGGTGGTGGACGGTTTAGATTGGGAAATATACGACAAGCGGATTGCATAAAAGAGTCGAGTCTTTGTTTTTCTGAGTCACGAGGAAATACTCCACTCGACTCCATTCGCACACACACACACACACACAGCTCTGATCTTTCGATGTCGTTTTCGTGATTAGAGTGAGGCACAGATGGAAACCTGTTGGCGCCTTGGGAGCCCACCCCCTTTTTTGGCGGTGGGGGGGAGGAGGGGGTTGGGGCAATATTTTAGTGCATTTTATAAGCACTGCACATGCAAATGTCTGTCGCATAAAACTTAATTGTAATAGTTCTTTACGAGCTCCACTTTGGCGCAGGGGAGGAACTTGTTTTGTGGCATCTAAAGAGCTGTAGACCCCCCCCCCCCCCACCCGCCCGCCTCCTCTTCAGCGTGGAAACGGGGGAATCTCTTTTAAGGCAAACACTTTGGCGGCTGCCTAATTTAT